CAAATCCTGACTTATCAGCTCTGAGTGGACGCGGTGAACTCTCTCTAAGAGCGTTGGGTCAGACAAAGACGCCCTCTCTTCCTGGTGTCGTTCGTCTGAGATGTTAAAAATTAACGCCCAGGAGCACCAAGCAGGGCCGGTGTGCACTGCTACAGCGTGACCTGTGCCCACGGCGCTCGGCCGGTGTGACCCGCCGGGGTGATCACGGCGGCGCCCAACACTTATCGCCGGCTCTTACAACCTGACGAAACCGCGGGGGCGAAGAGGAGACGGGTCTCCCGGCGCTGGCTCGGCTCACAGCCTCACAACCCTCGCAGCGGAGCTGGGACCTGCACGCTCCGCCCTGATATTTCACTTCACTGTTTGCTCTGTTTTTGGACCATTTGCAAAGGTGTTTCCCTTGATTTTGTGCATCTCTGCAGAGCGGGAGGAAGCCACACGCGACAGCCCCCTGGAGGACGTGGTTTTGCCACAGCTTCTCTTGGGGGGTTACCCTGGGAGCTCCCCGGGAAGGTGACGCCGTCAGACATAATTAGCAATGCCTCTTTTAAATTCTGGATGCTTCCGGGGCCTCTTATGACAAGCTCTGGTGCAGCAGGCTCTTGGCTGTGACGTTTCCCAGCCCAAACATCCTGTTTTCCTTAAGCACTAATTACAAGTGACTAAGATTAAGAGAACGTCAAATAGGAAGCGATGTGGGCTTCCAGAAATAGACTCTCTGGCAAACATGCAGGCCCTCTCGCCTCGGAGTACCTGCGTGTGTACCCGCGTGTGTGTGTGCGCGTGTGCCAGCGTGTGCTGTTATGTGCAAGTCTAACTGCAGAACTAGAAATAAGTGATTCAGGTAAGTAAACTGCTTTCCCCATCGGGAATGTTGGGGACACGCAGGACACCACGACGCCATGGCCGGCACACTGTGTCATCGCACGTCCACGCGGCGGGCAGGCTGCCCCGGGGGCATGGTGGCCCCCAGCGCGGTTCCAGGGCATCCCTGAGCCCCACCTGTGTCTGCCCATGGGCACAGCCCAGCTGCTAGCCGGGGGGGGGGGGGTGGAGGGGAGGCTGGGGACGGACGGGCGGGCAGGCGGTGGGCAGCGAGGCCCCGGGGCTGAGTGGCCCGTGGACGGGGCCAGCCTTGGGCAGCGGCTCCCTGTGGTGTCCGTGCGTCAGCCAGGTGCCCGGTGGGAAGAGGAGAGGGGCTCAGGCTCCGGAAGGAAGCAGGGTCTATAGGAAGAGTTTGTGTGTGTCCCCAAGCTGGCAGCAGGTGGCGGAGGGTGGCGGTGGGGCGTGTGATCAGCAAGGGTGCGGGAGCGCTCCACGGCGCTCAGGGGACGGGCGATCCGCCTCTGCGGAAGAGGGCGCGGGTGGCACGTGGCCGCCCACATCTGGACTCAATGCGCCCCGGCTGCGCACCAGGGCCCAGAGCTGCTGTCTGGGGTCAGGGCGGGGGTGCCGCAGGGTAGTGGCCCCGGGGCCGGGCTGGGGGCCCTGGGGGGACCCCCGGGGTGTGGCTCAGCAGGCGTGCTGCCCGACCGCACACTGCGCGCTCAGTGCCAAGCGCTCTCCTTTCTCCCTGGACCGCGGCACCGTCCCGGGTCAATACGTGCGAGGGGAGAGCCTGGCAGCCGCGGCGGTGAGCCCCAACTCCAGGCGCGGCCTGCTCCCCGGGGAGCCCGCCCGGTGACCGCATCCTGTCACACGGCCTGGCGGTGCGGCTCGCGCCTCATGAATAACCCAGCAGCTGCTCTTCTGCTCCATCGCCCCGGCCGCACGCAGAGAGGTGACGTTCCCCCCAGGAGCCCGGGCGAGTCAGACCACGGACAGGCTACCAGGTCCGCGCAGGCGGCTTTTAGTGGCACGGCTTCCGGGGGTCGCCCTGAGAGCCCGGAGACCTGTCTCCCCTCGGGTTCTGCAGGTGACGGCGGCCACGTTTGTAGCCCCGGAATCGCGACATTTTGTCAGGGGGGCAGTGATTTTCCCCACACACCACCAGTGTGGTTACCGTACCTGCATTAAATCACTGTTGAGGGGTCCCAGGGTCGCCCTTGAACGTGACACCGGTTTTCCCTGAGGGCCCCTCGCCCCCTGTGGCCACATGCCCGCAGCCCACCGCGAGGAGCCTGCCCCTTAGAGAGTGTGTCTGAGGCCTCAGGAAGAGACTCTGTCCGAGAGAGCAAAACACGGCTCTGCAAGGTTTGGGCCTTCACCTCAGTCTGCTGGGGCCACCGGTCACTTGCTGGTCTGGGGACCCCGAGAACCTGGGGACCAAGCCCGCACCCCCATGGGCTTAGGCTGTGCCTCTGCATTCGGAACTGAGCAGTGAATCCAGGGACCCGTGGGCTCAGTGAGGAAATCGTATCAGCCTCCGGGGGCCCCTGGCTTGTCCGTGAACCCTGTGTCCTCTCTGTCCAACCTGCCACGGAAACTTCTCTCAGAGCAAAGCCGGGAGGACATTTTCTCTGAAGGATGTAGGATATGGCCTCCTAACTCGGGGATGCAACCAGTTTGGGGATCTAGACATTTGCCACATCAACAATGCAAAGCCTGGCAGCCTCGGGGACTGGGTGTCCGGCCCGTCTCCCGGGGGTGCACACGAGGCCAGCCCTCTGCCCCGGGGTGAAGTGTGGAAGGACTTGAGGAAAACTAGCCAGCCCTTCCCACCACTCTCATTTCCCTCGTCCGATCCACTTTCTGCGAAACCATAGAGAGGCCCTAACCCAGCTTGCAAGCCCCCGGTGTGGGCTGGGCGGGGCCGTGGAGCTGCTGGTCTCAGTGGGCTGGGCATCCGGAAGGTGTTAGAACCTGGCCCGTGTGTTCACTTCGGGCTTCGAGAAGGGTGTGGATGTGCCCAGATGCTGGAGTATGACCATGGCTCTGCCGCGGAGGCAGGGAGGCCAGCCTCATCCACTGCCTCCACCTGAGCTGGGCTGTCACAGCTTTCGAGAGTGTGCTTCACAAATGAGGCAGATGGGTCCTGGAACTGTCCTGACGGCTTCTTCTCAGCCCGCTGGGAGGCTGGACGTCCTCTGTCACCTTCCCTTCCCCGCCCACCATCTCCCCAGCCTCGTACCTTTGTAGAGTCCGTGGACATGTATCTGACTGCCTATTTCATGATGCCTGAAAATTAGCGTGTCGCCAGCCCGCCGGGAAGAGTGCTTACCAGTCAAGACAGGACCCTGAGTTTCTCTTTTGGAACCTTTGGGTGCCCAGCAAAGACATTACTAACTTTTATCAATTTATTACCCAATTCATAGGTCAGTAGACTGTCCACCCACTGAGATAATCCATGAAAAGAGCAAGGGCCAGGACTGACTGGGAGACATGGGGGAAGACACAGATGACCACCAGAAGGAGACAGGTGGCATCACTACAGAGCCTACAAACGTTAACAGGAACATAAGGGGATTTGATGAAGGCTCTTCTTCCTACCTTCTCCCTGGTGTTCCGTTGGACTATTTACCCATCTTCCTGCCAGTACCACCCCGATTAACAACTGTAGCTTTGTAGGAAGAGGCTCTAAATTAAGTAGCTCAACCTCCAACTTTATTCATTTTCTTTAAGATGGTCATGGTTTTCAAGATGTTTGCATTTTCTGCATAAATTATAGAACCGGTTTGTAAGTTTCTACAAAAAAATTCGTTGAATTTGGATGGGAGTTCCATTCAATCTATAGAGAAATATAGAGAAAAATTAATATCTTTTTTCATTTTCCAATCCATAACTGTGTTATATTATTCCATTTATATAGGTCTTCTTTAATCCCCCTCAGCAGTGTTTTGTTTTAAATGAATAGGTTTTGCACATATGCCATATATTTTGATGCTATTGGTATTGTTTAATTTCATTTTCCAGTGACTTTGTTGGTAGCATATAGAAATGTTCTTATTGAATTTTCTATGTTGGCCTTGTATCTAGTAGTCTTGCAAATTTAATTCTAATATTGTAGACTGTTTTCAATTTTTTATGTATGTGAACACACGTGAACAATGTGAATTTTGCTACTTTCCAACTTTACCTTTATATATGTATTTTTAAATTTAAATTTGTGCTTTCCCTCACTGTTCTGGATAGAGCAATTCTTTAATGGAAGCAGTGAGAGCACATTCTTGTCTGTTCCTGACCTCAGGGGGAAAGTGTTCAATATTTCACCATTAAGGCTGATGTTAGTGGCTGTGGTGTGTGTGTGTGTGTGTGCGTGTGTTTGTGTGTGTAAGGTGCTCTTTAATTAATGAAGTGCTTTCTTTGTATTCCTAGTTTGCTAGGCATTTGAAACATGAACTAGTATTGAGTTTTATCTTTCTGCATCTGTTGGCATGATTACATGATTTTCTTCCTTTATTTTATTAATATGAACAACTTTTGTTTATATTCCTAATGTTTTATTGTGAAAATTTTCAAGCATAAAAAATAGAAAGAGTTGTATAATGTACACTCGCTGCCTAGAGAGTATTTTTCTATATTTGGTCCATCACTCATACAGTCATCTGTCTATCCCACATATCCATGTATGTTTATTGTACATTTTCATGTGTTTCAAAGGAAGTTGACATGTGCACACTGGATTCTTAAATATCTCAGTTTGTGAATAACTAAGTACAGTAGAATATTTACGTGTGTCTAGTTTTGTTTGGAATTAAATGTACAATTTTTGAGTGTACCATTTAGTAATTTTTGACAAATGCATACATATCTGAGTAATACAAGCCTATATCAGGAGTCAAAATCCTATCTCCACTGCAGAGAATTCTTTAATTTTCTCTCCAATCAATACCACCGGCCACTGCTCCCAAGTAATAGTGTTTGGGTTTGTTTTCTCTATAGGACGGTTCAGGATGTGCTACAGCATTACTTAAATAGCATCATACGGCATGTGCTTTTTGTGTCTGGCGGCTCTTGTTTGAGGTCATGTGTCTGATATCTATCTGTGTGGCTGTGTTTGTTGGTGATTCATCACCTTTGTTGCTCAGCAGTATTTCTTGTCCTAATGTATTAATTTGTCGATACGTTCTCTCGTTGCCGGACGCCGAGGGGTATCTAACTTGCCGCCCTTATGAGTGAAGCTACCCTGAACACTCGCGGACACATTCTTTTGTGAACATATGCTGTCACCATTCGGTGAGTACCTCGGAGTGCATTCCAGGGTCACAGGGTCGCTGTCCGTTTGTTTTCATAAGATGTGGTCTGCCGTTTCCAAAGTGATTGTACCAGTGTGCCCTCCCGCCGAGTCCTTGCTCTCCATCCTCACGAATGTTTGGTATTCTCAGTCTTTTTTGTCTTAGCCATTCTGAAGGGGAACCGCTTGTGGTTTGAATTCGCACCTCCTTAATGAGTAATGGCACTGAGAATTATGTCCTGTGCTTGTTATCCATTCCTATGTGCTTTAGTGACGTAGCTGTTCAACTGGCCGCCATGTTCATTGTGGCCTTGGTTTATAAGCTGCAGATGCTGTTTGTTCTTTATATTCTGAATATCACCTCATAGCCAAATGTACATAGTGAACATTTCCTCCAAAATACGGTTTGACTATTCATTTGAAAGTTGAAGTTTTGATTATATCTAACTATCCATTTTTAATGGTATTGATTCTTGTACTTTGCCTGTCCCCAGGATGTGAAGGCATTCTATGCTGGCTTCTAGAAGCTTTATGGCTTTCACTTTTACACTTAGGTCTGTGATGCACCTTGAGTTAATTTCTGTGTACCCGTGAGGTCAGGCTGGGTCTGTTTGTTTATGGATATCAAGTTGTTCCTGAACCAGGTGTTACTTCGGCTCAGGTCACGATTTCACAGTTCGTGGGTTAGAGCCCCGCATCGGGCTCTGTGCTGACAGCTCAGAGCCTGGAGCTGCTTCAGATTCTGTATCTCCCTCTCTCTCTGAAACCTCTCCTGCTCACGCTCTCTCTCAGAAATAAATAAAACATTAAAAAAACTTAAAAACCCCTCACTGTACAAGGAAATGTAGGTCTATTTCTGGGTCCTTTCCTCTGCTTCACTGAACTACTTGTTCTGTGCCAGCACCACACTCTTGACGACCGTGGGCTTCGGGGGGTCTTGAAGGCGGGCGGTGCGGTTCTTGGACTTCGGTCTTTTCCAGTGCTTTGGCTATTCAGGTCCTTTGCCCTTTTAAATATAAATTTTGTAATTAGCCAGTCAGTTTCTACAAAGAATACTGCTGGAATTTAAAAAGGGGTATGTATGTATGTATGTGGGTATGTGTATCTTTTTTTTTTAAGTAGGTTCCATGCCCAGCAGGGAGCCCAATGTGTGGCTTCTACTCACAACCCTGAGATCAAGACCTGAGCTGAGATCAAGAGTCAGACGCTTAACTGATTGAGCCACCGAGGCATCCCCGAAAGAATTATATTTAAAATATAGATATATTTGGGGAGGGTCACATCTCAGTTATGCTGATTTTCTAATCTAAAATTTTCTTTATCTCTCCATTTATTTGAGTCTCCTTGAATTTGTCTCAGAAGTGTTTTATAGTTTACAATGTGGAAGTTCTGCACATTAAAAAAAGACACATTGTTAGTATTTTTGGGATTTTTTGATGCTATTATAAGTGGAAACTAAAAAATTTTATTTTCCAATTGTTTGCTGCTAGCATATAAAAACATAGTCGAATCTGTATTTTGACCTTGTATCCTAAGTTCACCTATAATTTCTAGTGGTTGTTTGGAGAATTGTACAGTGTTGAATAGAAGTGGTGAGGTTAGACATCTTTACCTTGTTTCTAACTTAGGGAGAATTTGGTCAAACACCTTTGACTACCATAATGAAAATATGTTTTTTCTTTTCTAGTGTGCTAATATGGTGAATCAAGCTAGTTGAATCTTAAATGTTAAACATCTTACTTTTCTAGTAACTTCTTGATCATGGTGTGTTAACATTAAATGTTGCTGTTAAATTCATCATTCTTGGTATATTCTCTGTACTTCCCTGGATTTGGTTTGCTACTAACTGGTTTACAAGACACACTGGTCTGTAGTTTCCTTTCTTATATTATTCTTTGTCAGTTATGGTATTAGGATTGTCTTGGCTTCATAAAGTGGGTTAGAAATGTTTCTTTCTGTCTATATCCTCTGAAGAAGTTTGTGTATCATGGTTATTATTTCTATCTAGATTGTTTGGAAGAATTTACCAGTGAAGTTATCTGGGTCTGGAGTAATTTTGTTAAAGAAAAATAACTGACTGTTTAATACCATTAACAGTCTTGGGGTGCCTGGGTGGCTTAGTTGGTTAAGCGTCCGACTTTTGCTTAGGTCATGATCTCACGGTTCGTGGGTTCGAGCCCAGCGTCGGGCTCTGTGCTGACTGCCAGCTCAGAGCCTGGAGACTGTTTCAGTCTGTAACTCCCTCTCTCTCTGACCCTCCCCTGCTCACGCTGTCTCTCTCTCTGTCTCCTAGAAATAAATAAACATTTAAAAAAAATACCGTTAACAGTCTTTTGGTATTTTCTATTTTGTCTGTCTCTTTTGGTTAGTGATATGAAGCAACCTATTTGCTTCTAAGCTGCAAAATCAGTGATATAAAGCTATTCATAATATCTTTTTACGAACTTCTTAAAGTCCATAGAGTCCATAGTGATACGCTATTTTTCCTTTTCAAGCTTTTAAATTTGTGATTTCTTTTTTCTTGTCCATTCTTCATGAGTTTTATTAATTTTATAAATTAAATTTTATAAATTAATTTTATAAATCTTTTTATAGAATCAACTTTTGACTTTTTATTTTTTCTTTGTTGCAAATCATTGATTTGCACTACTAATTTTATTATTTGCTTTCTTCTGTTATTTTCTTAGGGTTAATTTTCAGGGCTTTTTTCTAGTTTTATTAGGAAGAATCTTAGATAATTGATTCTTATTCTTTCCTATTTTTTGGTACATGCATTTAAAACTTAAATATATTTTTTAGGTTTTCTCTGTATCTCAAATGCCAATATGTCTTATTTAAATTATCTTTCAATTGAAAAAAGATTCTAATTTTCATTTTGATGAAATTTTTTGACCCATATGTTTTTGTTACAATTCCTGGTTTACTTATGCCAAGCAGAGAACACACGGCGTGTGAATTCAGGTTTTAAATATGGCTTGAAACTTACTTGATGGCTAGATGTAGTCAGTCTGGGCAACTGTCCATTTACACTGCTTAAAAAATATATATTCTGTAGTTATTGGGTAAAATGTTCAATATATGTCTATTCTGTTCTTGGTTAGTTGTGTATTTATAATCTGTACTTTTACTGATTTTTGGTCTTTTTCTCCAGTAAGTTACTGAGATTAAAATTTCCACTCATCATTGTAGATTGGTCTACTTCTTTATTTGTATATTTTCTTTTTATATTTTCAAGCTATCCGTACAAGTTAAAGTTTTTAAAAATATTTTCTGTTATATCCTCATTTATTATTATGAAATCTCTTCCTTTACTTCTTTTTTTTTAAGCTTTTAAAAATGTTTATTTATTTTTGAGGTGTGGGAGGGAGACATGAATCTAAAGCAGGCTCCAGGCTCTGAGCTGTCAACACAGAGCCTGACATAGGCTCCAACTCACGAGCTATGAGATCATGACCTGAGCCGAAGTCAGACGCTTAATCCACTGAGCCACTCAGGAGCCCCTCTCCCTTTACTTCTCATAATAATTTTTACCTTAGATTATATTTTATCACATATTAATATCCTCCATGCCTTTCTTTATTTTAGTGTTTCTTATTCCCTAGATTTTTACTTCAACCCATCTATGTTATTGTTTTTACAATATGTCCCTTATAAGAAGCATATATGGGATTGTTTTCTTTAAAAAAAAAAAACAGTCTTGTAGGGATGCCTGGGTGGTTCAGTCAATTAAGTATTGAACTTTGGCTCAGGTCATGATATTGAAGTTCATGAGTTCGAGCCCTGCATCAGACTCTTCTGGCAGCTCAGAGCCTGGAGGCTGCTTCAGATTCTGTGTCTCTGTCTCTCTTTGTCCATCTTCTGCTCACATTCCCTCTCTCTCTCTCTCAAAAATAAATAAAAGCACTAAAAAATTTAAGAACCAGTCTGACAAATTTTTTTTGTAATTGAAATATTTAGTCCATTAATATTTAACTACATTCAGAGTTGGCTGGTTTCTCTCATATTTTGTGATGCTTTCTGTTCATGCTGTCGTCTGTTACTCTCTTATTCATTCTTTCCTTCCTTTGGATTAATCAAGTATTTTTATTTCCTTTCCCCCCGTCTTCTACTGACATTATAGTTATATGTTTTTCATTTCCCTATAGTTTAAAATACATATAGTTGATTTAAAAAAAATTACCATAAATTAGTACTTTTACAATTTCCCGAGCAATCGATGAATCTTACACAAGATTTTCGTCATGTTCCTACTCTACCTTTTTGTGCCATTGGTGTTGCATTTTACTTCTTCCTTTGTCAGAAACACTGAAAAATGTCTTTACTCTTGTTGCCTTAGATGATTAATTCCTACCCTGAAATTTATCCTTTTTGGTGCCATCATTTCTTCGTGTGTTTTCATAATTCCTTTCCTTTCCTCAGCCCTGAGTTTTGCTTTAGTATGCTTTGTGATGCAAGTCTGTAGAAGATGAATTTTCTCAAAATTTTTTGTATGACCACATATTTATTTTGCCTCCACGAGTTAAAGAATATTTTGGTGGGTATGGAATTCTAGGTTGTTTTTCTTGCTTCCTTTCAGTACTAAAGATGGCATTCCATTGTTTTGTGACTTCCATAGTATTGGGTGAAAAGTCATTCATAAGTCTTAGTCTTCTTTGAAAGTACCATGTCAGTTTTGTTTGGCTAATTTTTAGATTTTTTTTCTTTGTGTTTGGTTTTCAACTATTTGACTGTAATGTGTCCAGATTTGATTTTCTCTTTCTTTTTCTTTCTTTCTTTCTTTTTTTTTTTTTTTTAAGATTTTTATCTTTAAGTGATCTCCACACCCAAATGTGGGGCTTGAACTTACAACCCTGGGATCAAGCATTCCACGTTTCACCAGTTCACCCAGGGGTTCTTTTTATTTATTATATTTATGTTCATGGAATTTCTTGTACCTGGATGTTGGTATCATTCATTTTGCAAAAAAAATCTCAGCCACTATACCTTAAATAGAATTCCATTC